GTCCAATCAGGCCAAATTTCACATTAAAAGCGCAAATCAAATCAATATTATTGAGGAGGAAAGATACCGTGAAGTAAATAAGGAAACAAAGAATGACAAAAGTTAACCAGAGAAAAAAGAAAACTGCCCATTCTCCAGTCGACAACATGACAATTTAAGTGAAAAAAAATTAAGAAGATCATCTCCTATAAAAAAGAATAAAAATAATGAATTAGATATTCTGAATTCTTCATATCACGCTCACTCTTTCTTTCTAAATTCTCTCTTTCGTTCTCTCCTATTCTCATTCTTCACCGTAATTGTACCTTTTTGTAAGATATAGTGCAATTCTTAAGACTTTATAATGGACATAGCATTCACATTGAAGGTGAATAGTTATTCATTTTTTTTGCACTTTACGTTTTTATTCTAAACGCTCTATCGACTCAAATCAACTCTGATCAAATCACTAACACGATCGACACACGAGAGCGGTCATTAACCCTTTAAATAAATTTAATCGTAGATACCTCTACAAAGCTTACACAATTATAATTGTTTCTATATATTGTGTTGCATACTATACTCACGAATTTACCTGGGTTACGTAACTAATTTTACATTAATTTCCTCATATATTTATGTGATTTATCTAATGGCCCCACACATAGGTAAGACAATAATAGTAAGAGAGAGAGTGAACTTAAAAAAATAGTAGTTGAAGTAGTTTAAGATAATTCATTCGCATCATTTCCTCCTCAAAGTTTCCGACTCTATCACTTATGTAATTTTTTTTCTTTTTCACAATCATTACCAAATTCTAACTAAAATAAGATTTTGGATGTGCCTTTTTTTTCTGTATATAATTTTATTTGGCATAATATATTTCAAGAGTGGTAAATACCAATAATCTATTAATTACAATCGCTTTCTTAGAAAATGATCAGACAATGGTGTAGTGGAGCCATTTGAGTTGGTGATGATCATGATGATGATGATGATGATGATGGAGCAGCGATATAAGTGGGACTGCGAGTGTCGTTCCTGAGGAGGTTGAGGTTTCTGAACTACTGCACGTGGGCATGATAAGGCTGCCATTTTGACCAATAAAAACTCTGTCGGCTCCTCTGTATCATGAGATGGCAACTACTCATTGGTCCTAAACGGAATGTAATTAAAAACATTACACTGTTTTTTCTACCTTTCACACTAGCTATATCAACTGTTTGTTTTCTTTTTTCCTTTCTCCAAAATTTTTTTAACTTTTTTTTCACTAAAATCTTATTCATTTTATCTATTCGAGTTTAGAATTTAAATTTTATTATAATAAAAAATTCTTAAAAATAATCACATCTAATTTTTTTACTACAGTAAAAAGTTTTCACATAAAGTCGCATCTTAACTCGAATTAAAAACTCGAATTAACGAACTAAACGAGACTTTCTCCGGCAAAATCTTTCTATTCATAGAGTATTGTTAAATTTAATTAAAATCACATTAAATCAACAAAATATACAAAATAAATAATTTGTGATACAGATTTAGGGACTGAAATTAAAAAATAAAAATACTAACAATTCAATTTTGGGAGAAAAAGGAAAATAGGTCAAGACTTGAAATGAATTAAAATTAATAGGCCAATAGTTTATATAAGTTAATAAATAGGCCAAATTACTGTTTTTGTCTGGTTATGAACGATAACTCGACAAGTTATTCACGATTTTTGTCCATAACTTGTCTGGCTATGGACCATAATTTGACAAGTTTGTCCATAATTTATCTGATTATGAACTATAACTTGACAAGTTATGGCATATTAATTTCTATAACTAAAAATTAACCTATATATTTTCTTAAACTTTTCATATTGGTCTATTTTTTACTATTTCCGTTCAATTTTTTTGATCTTATCACAAAGACTCTTTTTTTTTTTTTCGTTTCTTTTTTAGCTAACTAGAGGACAGAGAAGCAAACGGGGCAAGACTCACAACTTTCGGAATTGGACAAGTCTATCATGATTACACACTCGTTTGCACGTGCAAAAGAGTTAAAAAATACTTAGTGGAATATCATCAATATTCATCATTCACAAGTCTCAAAGTACTGTTCTTGGCTTCTTTTGTCCCATGGAGCGCCGAAAATGTTTACCACTGCCTCACTGTTTATGTTCTGCGGTAGTGTCGTCTGATAAAATGTAAATGGTCCCGGTCCACCTCGACGGCTTGACCCTCTTTATGTTATTGCAGACGATGAACTGTAATTATCTTGAAAGTAAGAGCTAGAGAGAGACGGATCAAGGGAAAAATGGTGAATGTTGTCGAGAGATTGAAAAGGGTTAATATCGGGTAAGAAGAACAGCTATTTTGCCTTGTTGATAAGGACTATTATTTTAATCGATGTAATAGATTTTTAACATTGACATGTGAATTTTGAGTAGTTTTACATCCCACACCATAAATTTTTAATCTGTAAATTCACGGACTTTAACCGTTGAAAAATTAATCTAAACAATTAAAACATATATAAATTTGATGAAAAATATGTACGAGAAAACACTGTAATAAAAAATTTAAATTTAAATTTTTATAAAAAAAACACTATAAAAAATATTAAATTGTAATTTGAATTGTAAAAAGAATAAACCCTTTTTTTCAGCATATTAGGTTGCTTACATATAATTCATTTTGCATGCAGTCGGCTTAGAATTTTGAAAACGTGAAAAGAAAAAGATAATAAAAAACATACAGAAAAGATAAACAAGAACAACCGGAACGTCGCATGAGCAAATCTGATTTTTTTTTTTTTTTGGCATCTTAAAACTTCTCTTACTTCGAATACAGAATGCATACTCATTTAATTAATTTTAAGCAACTAATTTTAAAGATCATTTAATTATTTATTTTTTACTTTTAAAGTGAAATGAAATGCAGGTTTGGAATTGTTTATTGTTTTTTAAAATATTTTTGCACGTTTTTTAAGATATAAGAATAAAAAAGGTCTTCAAATCATGTTTGGGTAACAAATACTTTAAAAACAATAATGAATATTAAAACAAAAAAATAATGAAAATGATTTTTGTTAAAACCACGTTTGGGTAACAAATGCTTTGAAAATAATAATAAATATTAAAATAAAAAATAATGAAAATGATTTTTGTTAAGAAAATAAAAAATGGTTAAATTTTTTTTTCCCATTTTCATTTTTATTTTCTAAGCTAGTTACAACTTAGGCCTCGTTCGTTTTACTGATTCGAGTTTAGAATTTGAATTTTACTACAGTAAAAAGCTCTCACAAACAGTCACATCTAACTTTTTTACTACAGTAAAAGGCTCTCACATAAAATCACATATCAACTCGAATCAACGAAACGAACGAGGCCACATATTCTTTTAAATACACCCGAATACAATTTCACCTTTTTTTTTTATCTAAAATAATGTCTAAAAAAAATAACCAAACATAATTTCAGAAACAATCTCAACATCATTCTTAAAAAGTTCTCATTTTCATTTTCATATAAAAATAAAAACATTTTGAAAACACTACTAAATGTGCATGAAGTTTGGAAATGCCTAAAATAAATCTTGAGTCTTTCCAATCTTAATTTAATTTTCAAAACAGAACTATTGTAGTAAATAGTAGATTTATGAAACTAAATTAAATAAATAATATATTCTAAAATATTTAAAGTAAATAGTTGTAAAAACTTTTTTTATGACATAAATTTTCATTTACGACTGGTAAAAATATTTTTTTACAACGTGAATTTTTAATTTTATTTATGACTCGTAGAAAGATTTTTTTACCCTGTTAAATTTTTATTTACGACTGGTAAAAAAAAACTCACAACGTGAATTTTTAATTTACTTCTATTTATTTTAAATAATTTTAAATTTTACTATTTACTTTAATTATTTACTGTGAATATGCTGTTTAATTACTTCGTCCTCCTTTTTTAAAAATGCACATACAAAATAAGAACCCATCTAAACATGCTCTTAAATTTACATGCACACACATGCAGTAAAAAACTCTTAAAAATAATTATATTTAATTTTTTATTACAGTAAAAAAATTTTACATAAAATTACGGGCCGTTCAGTTCGCTAATTTGAGTTTTTAATTTGAGTTTTTAATTTGAGTTGAAATATGATGTTGTGTGAGAGTTTTTTACTATTGTAAAAAAATTAAATGTGACTATTTTTAAAAACTTTTTATTATAATAAAATTTAAATTTTAAACTTAAATCAGTAAAAAAAACTGACTACATCTTAATTTGAATCAATAAGGGACCTCATTTTCTCATGCGATGAAGATGGAAAAATCATGATTTCCAAATGAAACTAAAAACTGTCCAATCAACGGGTACAACTCGCATGTGATCACCAATACTTTTTCATCAAACTGCAGTTCGTAGCTGAAATGACAAGACCACAACAAACTTATAGAGCCTACACAAACGACAATCATTAGCCATGTTGCAACCCACACGATCATGCCATCATCCATCTCCACTTTCTTCCGGGAATATCTCCCCCCTCCATTAATTTTAACTCTACCCTCTCTCGTTTGTTCCTTCTTATCCTCAGCTACTTTAAAATTCTTTACCTGACTAAATTCTATCGTCATAATTGGATCATTCTTTAATTACCTTTGTAACTTCATGGTAATAATTAATTAGAAAGAATTAGTAATGCAGAAAGAAAATAATAACTAGAAATAATTCTTTGTTTCTCCATACCTGTAGTTTAATATTATCATGAGTCAATCCATGGTAATTGTAAGATTATTGCCAAACTTACATGCCTTTCTTTCGCAATGTGTAGTTTAATTATCATGAATCAATCCATGGTAATTGTAAGATTATTGCCAAACTTACATGCCTTTCTTTCGCAATGTTTCCCATTGGGGGGGATGCAGCTATTTTAAGCAATCTAATAAGTAGCAAAATGAAGTGAGAGAGAGAGAGAGAGAGAAATTGAAAACAAACATTTTATATTGAAGTCCATCCGTGTACAATATAAAGTTAATATATATGGGACCCCAGATTAAAAAAAAAAAAAAAAAAAAAAAAAAAGATTACCAATATTTGCCAATTAACAAATATCTCTCCTTGCTATTTACACTTCGATCTAGAAAACCCCCAGCTTAAGGGAATACACAGAGTAGGAAGAGATCAAAATGATCAACGATAACAAAAAAAAAAAAAAAAAAAAAACAATCTACACTAGTTTAGTTTGCTTCAAGTCGACATGATGAGTAGTACTGATGGAGTTACTCTAGTCATGCCAGCAGAGAAGCATGACTACGCATCTCCTGATAATGTAAAGCCTTCCTTTCTGTTGCCTAAGATACCCTCCCAGCTTTCTGCATGAGGCTTTCCTTTTCGACTTCTCGCCCATCACTCTTGCGTTGCAGCTCATCTTCATCGTTTAAGTATATATATGTGTGTGTGTGTGTGTAACTATATATATATATATATATATATATATGTGCTGTGGAGGAGAGAGAGAGATTATATAGAAGAGACAAAGAACTGGCAAAATATAATATGGGAACAGAGAGAGGTTTTTGTGTTTTGAAGGATGGATGGTCGTATGGAGTGGAAGGGGGTTTCGTATAAATAGAGAGGAAAGTGGTCCAAAGCAAAAGCACCAAAATTTTTACAAAACGCAATCCTAGGCCCCTACCACAACCATCATGGATTACGTTACACGTATCCACGCCCCCAAATCCCATTTCTTTATTTATTAAAATTATAAGAGAAAACAATAACTGAATCTTAAAAAATGTATATTATAAGAGACGTAATATATATTGTCAATAATTTTTTATTTTTAACTATTAAATCTGTATTAAAAATTATATGTTACGCATGTTTTTTCATTTAATGTGATTTTAACCGATTCTCAGCAACTAACCATACAAATTGAGAAGATCCCATATTATTATTACACTAGCAAAACAAGTGATTAGTAAGGAAACTACGTTCTTGATTTATATTATCGATTGAAAGTTATACTAGCTAGTGTCATTAGTATTATTGGGAAAATGAAAATGTTCTCTTTTTCTTTTCCTTTTTATATGTGCTTATAAGTACGTCCTCCTTCAAACCAACAGCATTTATTTGGGTATCAACCACCAAGGCTATTGTCGGCCATTACTAATGAAGAATGAGAGAATGGGGAAGACATAGAAAACTAGTTTTGCAGACATTTGGGCAAACTGGGAAATTGGCATGCCATGTCTTGCATTGTAATATCTTTGGAGGTACATTCATGCATACACATTTTCCCAATGATGACTTTTTGCAGCCTTTGAAGCTCTTCTGCTTCAACGTGATTTTTTCTGGAATTGTACGATGATATATTAATACTGTAATTGTTTTATCGTATTATATGTAGTTTCAAAGATAAGCTATATATATACAGATTGCCCATATATTTGAATGAGCCAAATTGAACGCGGAATGTGTCAGAAAATTTGGATTATTTTGACCCAGAATGAGCTTTTTTCTTGCACTGCACAAAATGGATAATACTATTGTATGTCTTTATGGGCACTACCAAAAGCAAGAAAGATAACACTGTCGATCCTTGGCACTTTTTAATGTGAGAATTGTTTACTAAGCAGGCGCTGTGTGTAGAACCAATCATATTGGATGTTCAGAATTACAAATGGGAAATCAGAGAATAAACAAACTCAGCTAGAGTGACAGTACAGTTGTCCAGACATTAATATAATATTGAAGCTCAAAACTCAAGGTTTAATTTGCAATGGAATCTGGATGGCTTCCTCAAATACCCAACAAGATTTGAAAGTAATTACTTCGTTGTTTAGCCTAAGACGAAGCATAATCCCACATGTTTTGTCTCGTGCTCCTCGCGAATCGCTTAATTAGGGCATCACCAACAGCAAAAAAAAAATGTCAACTCAGCAAGACATGAACCTGTATTAATTTGATAAAAAGTTGTCAATTAAACATTTTGCTAAATACTCATATCTTCTTGATTTTTTTAAGCAGCAGATTTTGCAACTGGATTAGCTAGTTCAAAATTAGGTAGAACTAATATGTATTTAATTTCTAGCACGAGTTTATGAACATCTTGAATCGCAAGTAATTATTACACCACCATCGGTCTACTTATCTATTACTTTATAGGTTTCTACTATAACGTACCTATCTATAATGCATGTTTCAAAATGTTAGATCATTTAGTCATAAAAAAGTCATATAATACTGACAAAAAAAGAATACAGATCTAACGGTTTTAATTAAGCAACAAAGCCTATACATCGTAATTTATACCGTAGAAATTTGTCCATGACTTTAATCCAAAAATTGTATACATATGTCTATACTATTAGGCCACCACCTCCAAATGTAGAATCGTTTTCACACAAAAAGTCTTTTCTAATCATGGGGGTTTGGCCCATCTGAGCTTGCAAGGACATGAATTTTCGGTGTGGGTTTCCTCTACTCCAATTTTATTACGCAATGACCAAAGGAAAAGGCCAAAAAAAAATAAGTAGGGTCCAGTACTACACCATTATTAACAACCAAAAAAACCCATCCACAGATACAGTTTGACTAAAGGGAGACATCAATAACCATTAAAAATGTTATCAAGCCTCAAAAACGACTATTTTAGATTAATTGGTTTTACTCTAAAACACTTACAAAGTAATTGGTTCTCCTCCATATATGTGTCTGTGTGTATTATATAAATAACAAAAGATGACAGTTTTTCTCAGCACCAAGAAGACATGCCTGCGTGAAAACCTCGTGAGAAACATGGTCGCTGCCTTTCTCACACTAAACAATAACCAATAATTTTTGCATGGTGTTCTTGTTTTTGGGAGCCTCTTGTCCTTAGATGTGTCGCCATTTTTTTTATTACCATATTAATAAATAGACCTATGCATGTATGTACCGATATAAATATTTATATATCATAAGTTGTGGACAATGAAAGACCAAATAAAAGAGAATCTTGTTGCTTAGGACTGGATGATCATATCTTTGTCTTGAATTAATCAAAGATTGTGTGTGTCCGTGTGATATCTTCAAGTTGTACGGTTCACTGTATTAAGTCGTCATGAGTGGATTTTTCAACTCCTATAATCTCAATTAGGATTTTGTGTTTGTGCTTAATTAACTAATTAACGCGGCCGGTTTAAGATGCCGTACGTGTTGTGTATATATTGGTTCGATGCATGCAGTAATAATTAAGTGAGTTATATTAATGCCGAGATCTTTCTCTTCTTTTTTTTTTCTCCCTCTTGTGTGTTTTTTAGGAGGCAAGAGAAGCCGTACTTAATGTACCACAAGAAATGCAGAATAAAAGTTACTATCCGTTCACTTCGCTGATTCGAGTTTGTAATTTGAGTTGAGATGTGATTTTATGTGAGAGTTTTTTACTGTAGTAAAAAAATTAGATGTGACTGTTTATGAGAATTTTTTACTATAGCAAAACTCAAATTCTAAATTCGAATTAGTGAAGTGAACGGGATTAGTGTCCAAATTCTTACAAGAAAAGAAGTTGGGGTTCTTCAAAGATCTCTAGTTATCTGTCCCTCTTAAGTAGCTGTTTCTTTTTTCTTTTTTTTTTTTCTCTTTTTTTGGGAAATTAAGAAGAACATTGAGAGGTTACATATAAGATGGATGTTCTCATTCACCACTAATTAGGTCAGCCCTTTCTTCTATAATCCTTAAAGGCTTAAACTTAATTCCTTCTCGTTGAGTAAAACCTAGCAATTTACAAATATGTAATGACATTCTTCCCAATAAAGAAAATAGAAAATAGTGAACTTCTTAAAATATGAAAAAGGAGTATCCCACCAAAAAAAAAAAAAAGGTTTTAGCAAGTGAAAATGGAAGGGAAGGCCCTTTGCTTACTATTCGGGCTTGTCAGCCATGCATGAAGAAACTTGTAAACATGTGAATTAGAGAAACACCATTTTTATAGAGTTCGCATTGTAATTTCTTTTTTTTAAAGATTTAAATCAAAGTAGTACGGGTGAATAACCCGTTCATTTCGCCGATTCGAGTTTAAAATTCGAGTTTTACTACAGTAAAAAACTCTCAGAAATAATCACATCTAACTTTTTTACTACAGTAAAAAACTCTCACATAAAGTCACATCTCAACTCGAATTAAAAATTTGAATCAATGAACTGAACGATCAGACTTTACCGGTACTTTGCCGCACCTTGTAAACATGATTAAGATTGTCTTTGGTCCCGGTGCCAACAGAATTTTCGTTTCTTTCTATCAATGCAACGAGCACCAGTACCCACAATAGCCATGGGCAACACGAGAAATAGATATTATTCTTGGAAAAGTGTATTCGATTTTTGTTGTAAGGTTTGAGAAAATTCCTTCTATTGATAGGTACAGTTTTAAAGAGTTATATTTTCATTAAGAATGGTCAATTTTCATACCTTGAACAAATACGTTTGGACACCCAAAACTTCAAGATTCACCCTTCAATACCCTGAATTTAAAAAAAAAAAACAAAACAAAAAACAAAAAACAAAAAAAAGCTTTTTTTTGTGTTTCATTTTGTCCATTCTTTAACGGGATTGCTCAAATGATATACTAAATTTAATATATTACAGTACAATTCAAAGTATAAACCCAAATAATTATTTTCATATTCATTAGAGTTATGGATAATTTGCCTGTTTTCACATTTCTTTCATAATTAGTGTTGAGGGTTGAATTTTGCCAATAGAATTATGCTAGGTTGTTCTTGGTACATTGTTGGGTTACCGGCTTGAAATCGTTATAAATTTGTGGTTGTTCTGTTAAAGTGTTTTTTGTAGTGTGGAAGTCGTGCTTGAATAAATGCAAGAGGCACAAAAGTTTTATAGTGGTTTACTCTGTTAATGAAGAGCTATATCCACTGTGTGTTGTATTTATATCTTTTGCTACTTAGGTTACATTCAAGCAAGGTCCCCTTGATCCTTTGGGGCTTTGCCCCATTTATATCCCAAAAATTACTTATTGGGCGGTTTTTCTTTGTAGGCATATCCCTTCGAGTGGCCTACTACCCTATGGGCCCAGACCATAGCATGTTAATACCTTTCATACTGTTCACTCATCCAATTTTTCCCCTATTACGGCTCTGCAGATATCCTCAACCGTTCGTTTCAGGCTGTTTTAGGGACTCATAATTAATCCCTGTGCTACTGACATCTTTTGAACCTAGACGCAACCTGCATGTGTCAAGGATCTTTCTTAAGGCGCTCTGTAACCTGTATTATGCCTTCGACGCCTATACTATTAAACAAGGCGTAGCCTTGTTCGGTTGACTCTATTTGTGGTGCTTCCAATGCGAGTTATATAAGCCTCGACGGCCTCGAATGGTCGGTGGTCTAAGGATTCGTCCATACGCTCAGCCTTCCCAATATCCAAAAGGAAAACAAGATCCAGACGTCGACTGCTATCTAATGTGGCAAACATTGGCCACTTGGAGCGCTATTGCCGTCCAACGTGTCAATGCACATTTTTTCACATAACAGCTGCCCTACATGTTGGACGACAATAGCACTCCACGTGGCCTATGTTTGCCACGTTAGATAGCAGTTGACGCCTGGATCTTGTTTTCCTTCTGGATATTGGGAAGGCCGAGCGTATGGATGAATCCTTAGACCACTGACCGTTCGAGGCCGTCGAGGCCTGTATAACTCGCATTGGAAGCACTACAAATAGAGTCAACCGAACGAGGCTACGCCTTGTTCAATAGTATAGGCGTCGAGGGTAGAATACGGGTTACTGAGGGCCTCAAGAAAGATCCCTGACACAGGTAGGTTGCGTCTGGGTTCAAAAGATGTCAGTAGCGCAGGGATTAATTATGAGCCCCTAAAACCGCCTGAAACAGACGGTTGAGGATTACAGGATCTGTAGAGCCGTAATAGGGGACAAATTGGATGAGTGAATAGTATGAAAGGTATTGACAGGCTATGGTATGGGCCCATAGGGTAGTAGGCCACTCGAGTAGATATGACTACAAAGAAGAACCGCCCAAGAAGTAATCTTTGGGCTATAAAAGGGGCAAAGTCTCAAAGGATCAGGGGGACCTTGCTTGAATGTAACCTAAGTAGCAAAAGATATATGCAATACACAATGAATGTAGCTCTTCATTAACAGAGTGAACCACTATAAAACTTGTGTGCTTCTTGCATTTATTCAAGCACGACTTCCACACTACATAAAGCACTTTAACAGTACAACCACAAATTTATAACGATTTTTGGCCGGTAACCCAACAGTGTACCAAGAGGTAACCCGACATAATTCTATTGGTGAAATTCAACCGTCAACAATTAGTATTATACCTCAAACTAGATTTTAATATTTTAAATTTGACGCTACATCAACAACATAGTCAAAGAATTAGGTACAATACAAAAGAAGGGACAGTTTTGCTAGCATTTGAAGTTCAAGGATATTGAACGTTAAGTTTTTAAATCCAAAAGGTAAAGTGGTAAGTAGTCCAAACGTTTTCCCCAAACTTGTGTTAAAAGGGACCTTTTTTCTTCAAATTGTGAAGCAATAAATCTAATATATGGTTGCTAGTATAAATTATTAACTAGTACAGATATATTTAATTGTTTTTATCTGATTACAGATATTAATGTTGTTTAACAATTAACACTAAAATAGAGAAACAAATAATTGTTTAGAGCTAGGGTTGGGGACCAGTTAGGCTGTGGTAACATTAAACATAAGGCCTGTTTGGTCTACAAGCATGCACTAACTGCACGTTATTATGGTTTTTCTCAGGCTCTCAAAAAACATATAATTGGGTTTTATATAAAATTATAATCAATATTGTCCTTGGCATTATGATAGACCAAGTATAGCCCTGATATGTTAGGGATCTAGACTCACCTTTCTATCTCTTTGTCCATAAATCTTGAAAATAATCAAAACCTGTTTTACCTTGTTAGTGGTTTTCTTGCTTATTCGTTGAAGTTGGTTGAAAACAATACAAGCAAATTCAAACTAGACACACACACAAAAATAAATAAATAAATAAATAAAATAAAAACTATATGAGAAAAGTTGACCCCAAGCAAATTCAGAATCAGTGTTTAGTTTGAATGATTCTGAATCATAATTCAGAATCTGATATGACATTTTAAATTAGAATCATTGATAATTCTAAAACCACCTCGCTCTTGAATTAAAGTGATTCAAACCCCTGATTCTGAATCATGGTTTTAGAATCATGATTTGAACCAAAAATCATGAATTATAGTTCTAGAATCATTATTAGAATTGCTCTGATTTGAATCCTTATACCAAACGAACCCTAAACTACTTTTTGCGTTTGTCGCCTTTGTCATCATGATTCATGGTATTATTAGGTCATTAAGTATAATTTTTGCTTATGTTTTTAATCAATAGAAAAGAAAAGTAAAAGTTTCTTCAGTTAATATTTGGAATTATGGCTTTAGAAGAGCAATAAAAAACTATTAGAATAAAGCTTAATAAATTTATTGAAGCATTTTTTTTTTTTAAGTTACATTATATTACTATAATAAGAAGCTTTTTAGGATGTCAAATTTTAAAAAAGTAAACTACGTATTGTGCCACCAAAATCTAATAGATTTAGATTTATGCCGTCTTTGATATTTTGAATATGTACACATATATATGGTGGCAGGATATAAAAATATTTTACCAAAATACTTTTTGAAGATGTTCGGCCATCTTTGTAGAGGAAAAAAATAATCTGGTAAGATACTACTAAAATGTTTTCTGATAAATTGAGTGGTGTAAATGTTAAGTTTATATCATTTGGTGTCATAAATCTAAAGATGACTTTTTTTAGTGGCATTTTTGTATTTCTTCTTCCAGCTTTAAACTCTCCTCAAACAACACAAGATTCCACAAGCCCTCATGTCTACAGCCCACCACCTATATTTTGTCAAATACTCTCAAAAACTTAATTTTAGATCCAAAAGCCTAAAGCTGCTTTAACCAAACAGAGCCATACCCGATTTGTCACATACAGATATTCTATTCGATATGGAAATTTTAAAAATACCTCTAGAAATGAAATTCTTTTTATTTTTACCCCTTAATATTAGTCTATATTTTTTTACTTTTTAGACTAAGACTAATCAAGAGATATAATTTAAAAAAATATATATTTTTAATAAGTTAGATAGTTAAAGAGGTAGAATATGAATTTTCTCTTTTTTTCTATATCACTGTGTGGTAGCAATGCTCCTGATATAGTGATATGTGAGAACATATTGGGCCTAAAGAAACTTTGTAAAAGGCTCAATATATCATTTACAGGCGAGGAAACATGGGCCAATACAAATCCAGTCCAGAATCATTTCAATTAGGCCCATTGCCCATGTTTGTGTCTCATGAGTGTGGACAAAAGCTTTTAGCAAACACCAAAGTGGGAATTCCAGTAAAAGAGAAAACATCAGTGAGGAAAAATACTCCGAATAGTCTTTGTTAGTAGCATCTCAGACGCCCTAAGACAGGGATGGTCCCAGTAGTTTATTTCGCCACTTCTCACCTTTTTTCTCTTTTTCTTTAATTTTATTTTTTTCTTTTTATTTTTGGGCCGCCCGCACCGCTTCTCCCACAGGGATTTGTACTACAACCAGCTTGGTTGCCCTGCCACTAATCTTAATGCCATCTGTGAAATATGAAATAATAACACCATTTTTCACAAAGAAAGAGGGGGAAAGATTGTGCATAGCAATACTAATCCTAATTTGTCTTGTTTGATGTAATAAAAAAAGAAAATTAGTTAATTGCCTAACTATTTGTACTTCGTTCATTTTACTGATTCGAATTTTCAGTTTTAGATTTCTACAGTGAAAAATTCTCAGAAAATATCACGTCTAACTTTTTCTGCTATAATGAAAAACTCTCAGAAAATGTCACATCTCAACTCAAATCCGCGAAGTGAACGAGAATGTCTGATTTTGAAACCGTCTTATTCGAGTTTACTGACAGAACAAATAGTTCATTGGCATCGTCGTTTTCTTGTTTGTTGAACAAATTGTTTCCTGAGATTGTAGTTTTCGGGTAGTTTAAAGCTGTGCAGGTCAGTATTTATTTATATGACTTTATTTGGAATACATTTCCATATAAAAAAGAAGAAAAAAATTTAGTTAATTGCAATGCTATTATACATCTATTTATCCCGATCTTTTCGTTTGAAAATAAGCATTTATATCTAGTTTGTTTATAATTCGTGACAACGAGGTAAGAATAAGAAAATAAAATATCCTTTTAAGTAGTTAGTTTTTTTAACGGTTAAAAATTCATCTAAAACTATTTTTGCACACTTTCATTTCGATATAATTTTAAATTTCAAAATTAAGATCACAATATAGAAAGCTCGTTTATCCTCACACTTCCACATCAAGTTCCCCTTTTCCCACTAACAAACAACCCCAGTCTTTCAGTCTCCACCCTTGCAAACAGAACATAACAAGCAGTTGATGCATTAACTGTACGAGTAAAACCATTGGAAGTGTTGATTAGCAAAAAAAACCATTGGAAGTGTTGTAAACCTTTTATGACGTGTTGGAGCACCCCATGCATCAAAAGAAGTGAGTTGTGAGCAGGTAATAAGGTCCGTTTAGGGTCCGTTCACTTCGCTGATTCGAGTTTATAATTCGAGTTGAGATGTGATTTTATATGAGAGTTTTTTACTGTAGTAAAAAAGTTAGATATGATTGTTTGTGAGAGCTTTTTACTGTAGCAAAACTCGAATTCTAAACTCGAATTGGTGAAGTGAACGGTAGTTTATTAATTTAAATTTAGATATAATTTTTATCTGAAAACTTTTTATTATAGTAAAAAAAATAAGATAAAAAATAAACTGTGATTATTTTTTAAAATTTTTTTTTATAATAAAATTTAAATTTTATTTCGAATCGATAAAATGAATACAACTAAACTAATAAGGATATGTATTGTTGTTAAATTTTTTTTAAAGAAAAAATAATAGAAAAAAAAAAAAACTGCAATTAATACAACTAAGTAGAGGATGACGATAAAGGGATATCCCCTCCACACCCCCTACTCTGATATTTCGCTAACAAAAATGCAGAAAGACATTAGACAGTACCACCCAAAAGCAACACCTTGAGCTGACTCATTTAGTCGACCCACCCCCTTTCCTCTTTTGCCCCCCTTTTCCTCGGCATCATTCCAACCACCTTTGAAAGTTCAAATTCCCCTCACCACCTTTATGGCAGAACCAAGCATCACACACCACCGCATACATCTTACTATTATCTTTCATTTTTCCCGCATCCCAAAAAAGACATAAAAATTTTTTAAAACAAAAAAAAAATGATATCCGAGTATTCGACATTCACAACATAAATATAACACATCTTTCATATGTACTCCAGTTTCATTTGCCAAATTACCATTACAAAGATTCAACCTTTGAATCCTAATTGGTCGGTTCAATCCATTTAACTTTTTTTTTTTTTTTTTTTTAGGCATAAATCAAACATTTTTTCAATGCAAAGCAACTTCATTAGGAGAGAGCCCAAAAAGACAACAAATTTATACAAATAACCCATCTTTCATAAGTCCAACCAAAAAGTGCACAAGTATTACAAAGATTCAACCTTTGAATGCTAATTTGTTGGATCAACACATTGAAGGTTTTCTTCTTGTCATTAATTTCACTTAAAATCACTAATTTGGATTGGGAAAAGTGGTGAAACCATTAGTGGCATTACAACAATTGTGGGCCCCAATCTGGTCAAGGAGCTTAGCCAGCTTCACATGCTTACCACACCAAGCTTCAACCAGTTTGGCCTCCTTCGCCTCGGCATCTCTTTGCAAAGCCAAAAGCTGTTCTCTATACTCGCCCTCAATCCTACTGAGAAACGCCATTTCCTCTTCTCTCAAGCTCCGTATCTTGGCGTCAATCTCTTCCATCTTCTCTTTCCTCTTCCTCGACTTCTCCGACTCCAGCTGCTGCTCCAGCCGGCTCAGCCGCCATGTGGCCTCCTTCTTGTGCTGCAACCAGCTCTGCCGCCCCTCCTCCAGCTCCTTACAGCACTGGAAAACGCTCGCCATTTGCTGAACCGGCAAGACCCGGTTCATCTCCTGTTCGAGCGTCTGCTGCTGTACCGGCTCGGACGGGGAGAGCGAGAGGCTGACGGAGGGAGACGGCGTCGCGCTGGACGACGTCGTACAGGACGAGAGCGACGACGTCGTTGCGTTGACGTTAACGTTAACGTTCAAATTCATCCACGGGGGAAGCGCGGGAGGCGGAGCGGAATTAACCGACCCGAGTGAGAGAACCGGGTCCGGGTCGGGCATCGGAAACGGGACGACGGGTAAAATGGCGGGGTTTAGGTTAGGCCGCTGTTGGTGGACGTACTTTTCGGCGAACGTCTCCAGTATGTGGTCGTACGGACCCTGTATGGCCTTCTCCGCGGGGGAAGATCCTCCGGCGACTGCGACGGCTACCGGAATATTCCCGTCGGGCTGCGACGGCGGTTTCTTCTGGAGCTGGAGCTGCTTGAGCTGCTTCTCCTTGAAGACCTCCCACCACTTGCCGAGGCGCTTGGCCGTGCGGCCGGGGACCTCGGCGGCGATTTTCTTCCACTTGTTACCGTACTTGGCTTGGAGAGAAATGACGAGGGATTGCTCCTCCGGCGTGAGAGAGCCCTTTTTCAGGCCAGGTTTCAGGTAGTTCTTCCATCGCTCGAGGCAGGACTTTGGGTCGCGGTGGAGGTGCTTGCCCATGCGCTGGGAAACGAGGTTCCAGTCCCTGGGGCCATATTGCTTCACGTAGGCTCGGAGGAGTGCGTCTTCTTCGGGCTGCCAACGCTGACGCTCTTTCATCGCAGTATCATCATCACCATTTTTTTACCTCCTTTACGGCATCGAACGAGTGGAAAATGTTCGACGAAATGCCCGCTGAGAAGAGGAGAGATTAGAAGTTTAGGAATAACCGGTTGTTTTATATGGTTTATATATAAGGAGTGGGTTTTAGTCGACGCGCGGTGTAGGAGCGTGGAGGGCAGGCGGTTCTTTATGGTGGGGAAATGGAAGGAAAGAGAAAGGGGTAATGGAGGGGTGAAGCCGAAGGTAAATAATATGTGGGGGGTTTTTTGAGGTTAAAAAAAAAAAAACATTAATGATGAGGCTGGCTTGGGATGGGATTTATCATTGGGTTTTGTTTGGTAATGTGTGAGAGAGAGAGGGGAGAAGAGATGACTGTGAACTGAGCAGTGACAGAGGGAGGAGAGAAGAGAGTGGTGGGGTTCTGGTTGACAGAGTGAGTCAGAAAATGGGGTGGACAAGACTGGACCTTTGAGAGATCTCTTACTCTCTCTCTCTCTTCTTTTTTCTCTCTCGTATGTATAGCAAATAGCAATATATTATTGGATGTTTGGGCTGTTTACTTTGAACCAGTTCATTCATTTTAATTTTTAATTTTAGTTTAGATATAATTTTATATGAGAGTTTTTTATTATAGTAAAAAAATTAAATATGATTATTTCTGAGAGCTTTTTACTGTAGTAAAACTCGAATTCTAAACTCAAATCGGTGAAATAAACGAGACCTTTATTTATTTGAGTTTGTAATTTAAATTGAGATGTGATTTTTTATGAGTATATTTTACTGTAATAAAAAAATTAGATGTGATTATTTCTGAAAACTTTTTATTGTAACAAAAATCGAATTCTAAACTCGAATCGGTGAAGTGAACGGAACCTTAATATAAAAATTCTTATAATAATTTAAATTATGTTTTGAAACTTATTATAATATTTTTTTTATAAAAAAATATATATAAATTAAAAATAATTTTGAATTATGATTTTGAATTCCTTAATTAATAATTTAAGGACATTCATATCATGATTTGAATCATAATTTATAATTTATTACAGTATTTTTTCTCAAAAAAATACACGTAAAACGAACTAAACATCCTCTTAAACTTATTATTGCATGTATATACGTGAGAAGATGCCGAGTTAAGAACTGAGGAGGGCTTTTTATGTACTGGGGGGAGTGAAGGGGAAAAAAAAAAAGAAAAAAACAGTCTATGTAGGATATATGCCTTTCAAAATGGGGTATAAAAATTAGAGCAAGCTACCTGCATGTTAATTAGGAAAAAACACCCTCTGGGCCATTGGGGATATTCTTTTGCGCTCGGGAAGGTTACAAAAAATAATAATAATAATAATAAGAGAGCTTTTTCTCTCTCTTTCTGCATAAGAAGACCACAACACTTCCTCATGTCTTTGCTTTGGAATATGGAACGTACGTTCTTGTTCATTTTTTACTCACTAATTTCAATTACTTTGTATAAAACATACGAATTACTCATGCGCAATGGCACGTACATGACGGGTTAACTAAACAATGTATTCATTCATGAGAAAAAAAAAAAAAAAAAAAAAAAAAAAAACAAAAAAAAAAAAAAAAAAAGCAAATATAAGTACATATTTTTTTATTTATATTTTCTTTATGTATAAATATAATGTTAATTTACCAATCAATTTTAAAAGCTTAAACTATTAAAAAATAAGTTAACAATAGTTTTATACTTTAACACTCATCTTCACGTGTGGGTTAGACAATAGACAATCATGTAAGTAAAGTAATTGGAAAGCCCAACACGTGAATATTTAAGCCCGAGATATACAATGGACAATTGTGTGGGTAAACTAATCGAAAATAGTAGAAAATATGCTAATATGAAAAGCTTAAGGAAGTATATAGGTAAACTTTTAGTTATAGAAATTAATAGGTCATAACTTGTCAAGTTATGGTTCATAACCAGATAAGTTATGGACAAACATGTCAAGTTATGGTTCATAGCCAGACAAATTATGGACAAAAATCGTGATTTATGCACTAACTTGTCAAGTTATGGTTCATAACCAGATAAGTTATGGACAAAAACAGTAATTTGACCTATTTATTAACTTATATAAACTATTGGCCTATTAATTTTAATTCATCTCAAGTCTTTGTCTATTTTTTTCTTTCTCCCTAAAGTAATTAGAAAGCCCAACACGTGAAGACCCAACACATGATAATTTTAAATGAGAATAAAGAGTATAATTACGGATGTTTAAACTCAAAACTTTTTACTCTGATACCATATTAATTTATTAATTTATCTTAAAAATTTAAATTATTAAAAAATAAATCAATAATAATTTTATACTTTTAACGTATAAAAAGAAAGAAAGAAGTAAAAAATTCCGTTATTGGAAGGACTAATTAAGGAGAGTGTTTTGCAAGCGCTAGGTGGTGGTAGGGGTGTATGAAAAGCTTTTATAAGGTATTTGGGGACAGCTCTTTGTACGTGAGACGCATCAACGCATTTCTCGGATCTGTTGGTGGGGGCTAATTTGTCTTTGGGTGCTATTTCTCTCTCCTCATCTCTATCTCTATCTCTTTCTAGCTCTGGCCTATATGCTCTCTTCTCTATGTAATGTGTGCCAATAGGCAATAGCCAGAGGGGTTAAGTCTAAGGCTTCGTTTGATTGGATTTAGAGGGATGAAGAGAGTTAAAATGTAAAAAATAAGGATTGTGGAGAGATTATAGTAGTCTTTTATAGTTGTTTATGTAATTATTATATTTGTTTATTTTACTATTTGTTAATAATTTTTTAAAGGATAAAAGGGTCTTTTCAATTTAAAATTAGATCCATTAGTTAAATAAGAATCCATAATAGTGAGCTGAGAGAGACACTCTTAAGTTATTTAGTTGGGAAATTCGAATTTCAATTTGAATCATGGTTCGTGATTCGTTACAGTATTTTCTCTTACAAAAATTACATGTAAATAAAAAATGATTATAATGACAGCTTTATACGCATGCGCTGTGATACATAACTTTATACGCATGTATCAACATAATGACAACTTCATAAATCAATACTTACAAGATGGGGGTACCTGTAAGTGAAATTGACCCCTTGAATGTGGATAATGATATCAATCAAAATCATAACCTAAATCATAGTACAGAACCTCCAAGAAACACCACGAGTCAAAAGGAGATGAGTCTTATGAGGGATGAAATAGCGAGAACTATGTGGCAGGCTAATGATAGAAATAACAATCGCTAAATGTACACTTATTAGTTAACATGTATGTAATATTTGTTTTGTAACAGGTAAATCGAGCCATTTGAGGCAATGTCTATTTTTGCTTTTTTTTTTCCTATTTTCGGAATTTTTTTTTTGGTTGTGACAGGTAATTTTCCCCTTCATTAATTAGTTACATGTCTTAACATATGAATATGACATTTTAAAAAAATTAGAAACTTGTGTTCTTCAGTTTGAATAATGGAAGTTCTTTTTTTCCTTCATTTTATTTAGTAAATGGAAGAGAATTGAGATGGTAGTTGGAATAATGGAATCTGTGAAATGAACACATCACAGCTCGAACTGTGGGTCAAACTTGTACCTCAAATGGACTCCTAAACACTAACTCCAATTCCAATTACAATTCCAATCTAGATTCTAACTCTAATCATAACTTTGACTCAAATTATAAAACTGTGATCGGTGAAGTGAATACACCCATAGTGTAAAAGCCATAGAACCTCTCGTTTGGGGAAGTGTCTCCTTAGCTTGCCTCTCAGCTTTTTGATATGTTTTTTTATTTGAGCCTTTCTTCCTTGTTTTTTTGTATGGACACCCACTTAACTTTTTATTTAACAGTTTAATCATTATTCTTTTTTTCTTGATAATCAATCCTTTCAACTTTAAAATCTTTCCAATTGAAAACGACGTATTTTTTTTTGACAATTCTAATCACGTGATATGCATGGAGCATCTTATGGGGGTAAAAGACAATTTCACACCCCATTTATTCGGTTATATTGATGTCAGAGTCATCTAACATATCTGAATATAATCAGCTGTGATAAATAAATTCTTAATTTTCAAGGGTTAATTACCCTCAAAAGCTGCTATAAGGGTAAGACATGACCTTTATTGTCCTACATGGATGCTCACGTGTGCGTCACGTAATTAAAATTGTCAAAAAAACAGATGCCACTTTCAATTGGTCTTTAATTGCACACATTTTCAAGTTGAACGAGTCAATTGGCTGAGAAAACTATTAAGTAAATGACATATTTTAAAACTATTTAAAGTAAATAGCAGTTTATCATGTAAATGTTTCATTTATGACAAGTAAAAAAATTTTTTTTTTAAGTAAATTTTTTTTACGACTTATAAATTGATTTTTCCCGCGTAAATAAAGATTTTTTACTAATCATAAATGACACATTTATAAGGTAAATTGTAATTTATTTCAAATATTTTTAAAATATACTATTTACTTAGTTTCAAAAATTTACTATTTACAACAATTTCTTGTTTTTCCCTTTTGGCCCTAGGAATGCATTCGTATCTAAAGGCCCGCTTTTGCAGTAAGTTTGTTTTGAGGGTGAAGAAAGTGAAAGAGTGAAAAGGATTCGTGGCTAATAAAAGAAACAAAGTGAAAGGATGTGTTGAATGTTGAAACTACATCACTGTAGGGTTATTTTCTGTAGCGTTAAAAAAAGGGATTTGCTTATGGTGGGGTTTGTTTATTGTAACGTATAAAAATATAAAGTATAAATAACATTTATTATATGTAATATTTAAGTTAAACATGTGTAACACTAAGAAATTACTCATCCAAACTATTATTACATGTTAGTAGTTAAACAAATGTTACACGACATATTAGTCATTGTTACGGGTCATGTTGAACATGTGTAATATGAAGAAACTACTTAAAATTATATTAAACAAATGTCATGTTATATTATACTTTTTCATATATTACCTTTTTTTTTATCAATGTTTTCAGAAATAACACTAGTTTTGAATTTTTTGAAATCAATGTCAGGTTAATAGTTACCATAAGTAATTATCTGTTTATATATAATAAGTTTCAGAAAGCTATGAGTCTTTCTCTAAAAGTAAGAGCAAATCTCGTATAGTACGGGTTAATAACCAAAAAAGTTTGGACCTAATTCAAGAGCTTAGAAGTTGGTCCACATGAGAAAAACGTGTTCCACCAAAAGAAACACCATGTTCTAACCGATTGCATTGACGACTGAACTTTTTGGTAAATACAATATTTCTAGTT